TCTCCGTGTATGATTGAAGCTTAAAATATGTAATTTATTTTGAAACGAATTGAAATAGCAATCTTGAAAAGAAATGAAAAAATATATTCAAAGTAAAAAGACGGTAGAACAAACACCCAATGAACTTATAATATAAAAGTTATAGAATGAAAGTTTTAAAAAAATTCTGAATAATTTTTTTTTGCGCGCCAATGGAAAAGGATTTTAAGTTAAGTGATAATTTTGTTATCTCTTATTTGTGAAAATTGGGGCAGAAAAACGTAGTTTTAAATTTTTTAAGAAATGCTTTATTTTACAAATCAACTTTTTTTTCTTATTTTTCTCTTCCGAAAATATTATAATTGCGTTATAGGAACTTGTAGATTTATTCTAATGAAATGTACGAAATCTGAAAAAAGAATAAAATTTGAAATTATTACTGATAAAGTAATAACTGTATTCAGGTATGTAATTTTTAGACAAGTTTTTAATACGTTATAATACAGTTATAAAAATTGTCATTTTCAAAATAAAAAATGTAGATACTTACTCAGTTATTTTGACAAAACTGAGGAAAAAGGGAAAATGTTTATTGCGTTTTATAGAGTTTTAGTTTTGAATACTACTGTGATGTATACAATGTATTCATAAAAAAATATCACAATGTAGAATTGTTTAAGCTTTTTAAATTAAAGTGTCATCTCCCAATGAAAGACTTGCATTTTTCAAAAAGAATAGAAATCTGACAACTTTTACATTCAATCGGTTTGACCTTAAAAATGATTGCCACTTTATTACTGTAATTCATGCGATTTTCAGTAATTTATACAATTTTCACTAAATTATAAGCAGGTTAGAATTTAGTAAACGAAATAAAGCAATTGCATTAATTTTTTTTAATATCCTTGAATTGAGACACGCAATACGGTAGAAAATCATTCGTGTTTGCTAAAAGCAATTCGATCCTTTACATTTTATTTATAAAATATAATTCTTTATTGCGCATTTAATTAGATATGATGATTGAATGTCTTCAAATTAATTTATTCTTAATGGTTATTTTATTAGTGATTATTTAATTTTTAATGATTATCTTAATATTATTTATTATTTTTTCTTTTGATATCAATTAAAACAATTTTCAATTTCAGTTCAATCTATTTGTTGAAAAACACTCTGCACAAAGTTTTAAATAAAAACAGAATTGTTCTTTTAGTTTTGAGGAAATAAACTAAAAACAGCTCGTAAACTCGTGACGAGTTTGACAAGCAAGTAAAAAAATTTCAAAAACCTCCTCTAATAGTTAGCATTATAATGAATAAGTTATTCCTAAATAATAGTTATTTCCAAAAACATTTTATTTTGAAACGGTTTTGAGTACACAGTTCTGTGAAATATATGCGAAAGCTATAAGACAAATAAAATTATTCATTTGCTTTTGTGTCAAAAATATTTGTTTTTGTTTTGCGAAATATTATTTATGATTATTTCTTAAATCAAGTATCTTATTAAATGCAAACTTTTACTAAGCGTATCCAAAGCACATATTGTGTAACTTATAACATACAGCTTTCTTTAATCTTTATAAGCATAGACGAAAGTTGTTTCAACAATCTACAATTAATTTCGCATAAATACTGATATATACCAATTACTTAATGATTGAGTTTTATTTTGACATAAGTATTAATATTACTCCTCAGAAGTATGAATTTTTATGACTTCATTTCTGATAATAGTTCTGAAAACATGTATTAAAAAATAGTCATTAAGGATTATTTTGTCATATTAGTTAATATCATACACAGTAAAAAATTCCGGATCAAATTACAGTATAAATTACTGGCACGCTTCCTCCGAAAAATCCCCTTTATAGTAAAATCTATTTTTACCGTAAAATATTTTACCTTAATCCTTATAACAATATTTATTGATTAAGATTAAACCAGTAATTTTATGGTAATTATTACTGTAAAAATTGAAGTTTCTAAACTTTTTTGTTTCGTAACATATATCAATAAAACGAATTTTACGGGACCCTGAATGTCGGTCGATAAAGAGGGGCCCGAAAAAAAGCGTATAAGGTCACAGAAATAAAGGTCATACGTAAATATTACTCGTAATGGAAATTAAAGTCAACAATAATAAAAGTTTTACTGAAAATACGAAAATACGAGTTAAAACGAGTAAATACGAGTAAAAACATCTCAAAAATATTGTTTTGTGTGAAAATTCTCAAACTGAATCATCGATGACTGTTGCCTTGCAATTGTCCGATTGACATAAAATTTTGAGCAAACCTTCTTATTTTTTTATTTTATTTTCATAATTGGAACAAAAGGTATTCAATATACGAGATCAATTTACAAAATCAGATCAATATACAATACTTTTAAAAATTTGAAAAATTAGAGTGATTGAACTGCATGTGTGTTTTAGTTTAAGATTGGCTGAGTTCCCTATCTCTTTTTTTCGAATAAAATAGGGGTACCACATATAAGAGAGTCTTATAGTAAGCTCCTTTAATGCACTTCTGTCATCTGTTTTGTAATGGTGAAATAATATGACCTAAAGATAATTTGAATCAATTGGTTCGAATCAATCTGTTTTGACTTTAATCAATTGTTTTGAATCAGTTGTTGAATCAGTAAGTGATTAGAATCAGCATGTCATTTAAGTCTATGATCCAAATCACTGATTTTCATCATTTAGTGCTTAAAATCAGTCAATCATCATGAAAATCTCAACTATTTGAATCAATTGATTTGAATCACCTTGATAATTTGCTTTGTTTACGTTTACAGGCTAGGCTAAAATCTGAAGGAACAATCATTAGTCTGTTTTCCAATATTTTTACTTTTAAGCATAAAAAAATAGCATACCGGAAAACTTAATAATTTGTATTAATAAGAATGTAGGTAGCATTCAATAATTTTAACTTATATCTAAAATTCTTAACTATTCATTCTTTAAATAAATATATTAAAAAATTTTTTTTTATGTCAACCTTTCCCTATTTTTCCCTATGTTTACTAAGTAAATCTTTTTCTAAGAATTTTATAAAAAAAACTTAAAATAAGTTAATTTTCTGCACAAATACCAGCAGCAATTATTAAAATACATTTATCTATTTGCAGCAACTATTACAAAAGTAAAAGAAAGCCTTAATTTTTCGAAATCTTTTTTTTTTCATCGCAAAAATACTGGCTTTAAAGCTAGTAATTTTCAAGAAATTCTCTAGTACTAGATTAAGAAGTTTTTGAGTTTATACCATGCTGTGTTTTTAGTAATTTATGTAGGAAATCACCGTAAGACAAAAGCCTATTTTTTGCGACAGCTGTAATAGCTATAATAGAGTCGGAAAATGTAACTAAATTGGTTTTTCAACCTCTTCAGCAATTTCAATTACTCTTCAACGGCATAGCACTTCTGTATATAAGGAAAGTTACAGACTTATAAATGTTATCACTTTTTTTGAATTATCAAAAGCGCAATAAAATAATGAAACAATGCGACAATTATTTTAACGGACAAGGAAACTGTATATAAAACACTTGTCATGCTTATATTTTTTCTGAATACACGCTCTGTCTTTGTAGGTTGACACTTCAATTTAAAAAGTAGCTACACGATATCAGTTCCGAACGTCATTTTTTATTTTGGTCATTTTTAAAATACAAAACAAAAAATAAAAAAAACTATAAAACATATTGAATTTTTCTCTCTTTTTTTCCATTTTCGCCTGAATAACTCAGTAAGTGTCTGCAATTTTTTTCATACTTAACTTTATTCAAAATGTATAAATAAATTAAAAAATTAAATGCTAGGAATAATCCCCCACGTTTCAAAATATTTCTACTTTGAGATTGAGAGTTTTGAGATTGAGGTTTTATTATTATATCGAAAAAGATAATACCGATTTCCGAAACAAATTTATTGAATCTTAATATATATTCATATTATATCGGAAATATACTTTCAAATAAATTTTATTTTTAAGACTGGAATTTTAATCTTGATAAAATTCCTGTCTTATCATCTCAGAAATATAGTATCGAATATATTAGGATTTTGAAATAGAGATTTTAAGTACTTTTTTTAAATTATGTTGGAAATATACGGTCCAATACATTTGATTTTTTGAAACAGAGATTTTAATCTGAATACGGTTTCTGCCTTATTATCTCAGATATATAGTTTCTAGCTACGCTAAAAAGAGTTTTAAGATTAAGAATTAGACCTCACAAATTTTTTGTCACATTATGTCAGAAATATATGTACTAATAAACTAGGTTTTTGAGATCGAGATTTTAATCTCGAGATTTAATCTTGAGTTTTGAGATTTTGTTAGAGTGATGAAAAAGATGAATTATAAAACTTATGAAAGATTTTTTGTGATTCACTTCTCGACATGCATAGACAATTAGACCAATAACTGTGTTATAACAAAAAAGATATTTTAATATAATTATCTAAAGGTAATGAAACAATCTAGGATTAAGTTCTGAATGAGATGCATTTAAACAGATTTTTGAATAAAATTAAACTTGCAATAATTTGTCATTAAAACTCCTCGCTTAATAAGTTAAAGATTTAATTTATGAAAACGTGTTGTGTTGTTGCTTCTAATGACACTTACGCGAGCCAAGCTTACCCGCCAATGTTTTTTTTTTGCAATGTAAGTTAGAAAGGTGCACCTTTCGTTTGACACGAGAGCACTACAAAAGGGCAAATAAGTCTTAGTTCAGAACCCCACTAGTAAGATGGCAGTACTATTCACTCCAGTGGCCACTTCCTCAATTTTGAAGTAGATCGGAAGGGTGAGGAAATTTTCTCCGTAACCCTGTACCCTAGGTATTGCTCAGAGACCAACCGAAGGACTTTCGATTCCATAGAGTTTACGATCACGTATATTGCATGTACTCAGTGGGTCTCAGAGGGGTCGAGGATCAAGCTCTAGCCCCTTCGGACAAAAGTCCATTGTATAACCACTGAGCTACCATGGCCATGAAAAGAAATATAAATAAAATAAAATGAAATTTTTTTTCAATTTTTCAAATCCTTCTTAATGGAGTTTTCGACTATCAAAATGAAATTATTACTTTTTTTTTTTTAACTATAATGAATGTCTTGCAGAATAATTCAAAATGAAGTACTTGGGTCTGATTCTTGTTCTTTCCATCTGGATTTATGCAGCAGCAGATGAAGCAGGGGATGAGTGGAAGGCAGCATTATGCAGTAAGCTAAATTTTTTCACGAAAGATTTAGTTGAATGCAGAACTGCGAATAAACTTTTTCCCAGAATAGCTTTAATTATTATTTGCTTCTAATTAAGTTTAAAAGTAGAATAATGTATTCATGATAACATAGTACAGTTGTAGTTGTTTGTTTCATTATGCCTCTCATGGAATAAGCTTAAAGTGTTTAATCTAAACCTCATAGAAGCAAGAATGTCTTGTCCTTGAAAAGTCCAAATGTTGTAAAAACTTTCCCAATTTCCCCACAGCACAGTTTAGTAGTCCCAAGGTTATGGCATCTTTCTTAAAACCCTCACTGCGCAGTTTATCTTCGTTCTATCAGTGTACTGTTTCCTCTAAAATTTAGATTTACGCTATCTAGTGATCAATATAGTAACTTTGGCAACAGTGTTATCCAGGTTCGAAAAAAAATCAATCAAGGAATTATTCGCAAAATTAAACATTTACAAACAATTTTATTGATACTAAATATTTCCAAACAAAAACAAACTCATATCATTTCCAAATGCTATTACGTAGATATCACATATGTACAAATTATTAGTTACTTTAGGTTTAAAATTCAGCAATACGCAATTATATTTTCAATAAAATGCAATTAAAAATTTAAAGTAAATCTCTAAATCCAGTAAAAACAATTAAAAATAAAAGGCACAGTATCTTAAAATCTAATAAAAGCAATTAATTACTAAAGGTAAATTATTCTTTTAAAATTATTCTAAAATCAAACTTAGAGTTTTTAAACTTCAAATCAAATCCCTTGAACGCCCACCGGTTTTGCAGCCAGAACTTGTGGAACAGTTCAACATTCCAGTTTCTGATCGACAGCACATTAAAACTCCTTTCAGGTTTCTTTCTAGCATGGCAGTTAGCACCTGTGGATCAGCCGACTTTCAGTAATGGATCGACTTGGAAAGACAATCAGATTCTAATTTAGCAGCCCTGGCCTAACTTCGCTCCCCACTTTTACTCATCAACTCTCTCAGCCATTTTCCACCACCTTTTCCTCGTGTCAGCAAAGCGAATGAATCTTAGACTGACCTTTTTCCTCCCTTTAAAAGTAGCACAACACCAGTGAACGTCACAAAAAAAATAGTCCAACGATAAAAGCAGTCACAAATTAAATAATATCTTTTAAAAATGATAAAACAATGCTAATTAAAAATAAATGAACTCAAATACACATAATTCAACCAAAAATTTCATTTAGAAAGACAATTAAAATTTAAGATAAATATCACTATTGTGATTCAATTTGAAACTTATAATAGTGGTGCCGCCTGGAGGCAAATCATGTTATACAGCATTAAAACTCACAAGAATTCGATAATAAGCAGAGCTAACCAGCGCTGCCATCTATTGAGGAAATAAGTGAACTATTTCCGCTGGAAAAGTAAACCCATCTCTAAAAGTATTTATCAACAAATAAAATGTATTAAATTTTTATTGCAAAGGCCTTCCCACTTCTAGAAGGTGTTGGTTCAATACGGAAGAAGTATATTTATATATATTTTTCACTTAAAGGAAATATAAAAGAACATATAGATTTCATAATTTTAAGGGATCCGGATTGTGTTACTCGCATAGGAAACTATTGTGAACTACTTGGCAGCAAAATTTTTTAAGGATATTTCTTGTTTTTTAATGGTTGTGTGTGATGCAAAACATGCAAACTGCTGTTTAGACAGAATAATAAAATTGGGAAAATTGTTATAATAAACAGTGTTAACGTAGCACATTAATTACTGCACAGTCTAGTAGTCCGAAGGTTATGACATCTTTCTTAGTACCCTCACTGTACAGCTTATCTTCGTTCTTTCAGACTATGGTGATCCATGCAAAGCCCTTCTCCTTTCTAGAAGATGTTGGCTCAATACGGAACAAGTATATTTATGCATTTTTTTTCCACTTAAATGAAGTATAAAAGAACATATAGACTTCATCATTTTATAGGGGTCTGAATTGTGTGGAAAACAACTATGAACTACTATTATGGGAACTACATTTACTACCATGGGAACTACATTCTTTTAAATGTTTATCAATGTTTTTAAATGATTGTGTATGATGCAAAACATGTAAACTGCTGCTTAGACAAAATATTTAAAATTAGAAAATTGTTATAATTTACTGTGATATCATGTTAATTAGCGTTCTTTTCAAAACATAAATTGAAATATTCAGATAAATTCTAATTAGCAGTGAAACAAGAGTATTTTCATATTGAGGATGAAGATTTGGTATAATGATGTATTTCTCTAATTTTTTTTTCAAAAGTGTAGTCAGTGGATTTTGCCCCTTGGCGGCATAAGTATGATATGCATGTCAGAAAATATATCTTTAGCGGTATATTTATAAGCTGTTATAGAATTAGTTAAATTAAAAAAAAAATTGTCTGTTTCCAGTATTTGTTTTAAATTTTTAGGCAATGACGATGAATTGTTGGAGGACATATATAATTGCTTTGAATTGGAGCCAAAAGCAGTAAGTCTAAATTATTTCTCCAAGCTTAAAATATTCCAAGTTTTTTTCATAAATAAATTATATCTGTTACTGTAGAGAAAGAGTTAAAATATACCATTTCGCTTTGTTGAAAGAATTTTCTGAGTAGGAAGGAGAGAAATGACTTTCCATTATGATTTTTCAAGTATGAAAAAAATTAAATTTACTCTTAATATATCCCTTTTTTATGTGCAGCGCAAAGGTTTTATAGTTCATATTTACTAATGAAAAAATTCATTGAAATGCAGTTTTCATAAAAAGTAATAATTTGCATTTTGTTTTACTTTTTGAGAATAGTCTACATTCTCTTATACATTTTTGCATATTAAGACTTTTAAAACTGCTGTTAATTTTATCAGGGTTCATTTCCTATGCATGTTTCAGCAACGCTCGCTTATTTTAAAATCTAATTACATCACCTCACCTTAAAGATAACAATCTTAAAGATAATAATAAAAATGAGGTTTAAAAATTTACGCAAGTTATTAGAAGTAAATGTATAATTTCTTTAACCTCATTAATGTAGCTTTACCAATATTTAAAAAAATCATTCTGAGTAAAGTAGAAGAAAAAGCGATGTATCTATTTCAAAAAATATTTTAAAATAAGTAATAAATGCTAATAAACTCCTAATAGAAAATTTTCAATGGAAATGTTACATATATGGATGTTTGGAAAAAAAATGGAGTTTATAATTGAAAGTCAGTTGCTTCTAATCTACACAGTAAAAAAAATCTGCTAACGCTAACTTAACAGAAAATGACTATCAGATAGTGTATCAGTATAAAATTGCGCAGAAAGGTACTGACATTTAAGGCAAGGTGCTTATTTTTGAGCCGTTATGTTATGTTATTTCAACAAACAAACTCTGTTATTTTAGTAAATATTCTGTAAAATAACTATGTCATGGTCAGTGCGAACTCAGAGCAGCATTTATATTACTAGTCTACGCTGGGATTCGAACCCGTAATAACGAATAATTTGTAGACGAGTACCGTGTCTTTTGAGGTTCGGTAGGTCTTTAGTTTCTTAGTTTGAATAGAAATGGAATAAGCAAGAAAATGAAATTGCAGCTTTATTTATACGACGTTCAAAACTATGAAGTCATTCCTCCTGAAAAAATTTGAGAAAATCGACAAAATAATCTCAAAATGATTTGAAAAAGGGTAGAGTTATTGTACAGTAAGTAAAACCGCATGGCCAATACTAGAATTTGAACTGACGGTTTTAATCCGTTCATGATTAATTACAAAACAGCTTTACGCGTCAAGTATACACAGAAAATCTGTTAAAAAAAACGAGAATTTTTTACATCGTAGTTCAAAAAATGTATCTGATTGATAAAATATTTTCTTGTACTTTTCTAGATTTCAGACCCTATAAAAGAATGTTTTTCGAGAATGTCTCCATCAGCAAACGATGACCTTAAAGAATTTACTAAGTCAGTTTGTAAAGATGAAGCTCTATATGAACAAGTACGAAATTCTTCAGATTTTTTTTTCATATTCAAAACATACAAAATGTTTCAAATTTCCCTTATAAATCTCTTCTGTCTTCTACTACTCCCAAGCTGTGCAATTTAATTTATATTAGATTTTGAATATATTTAGAACCTATAGCTTTATATTTTCATAGCTTTATATTTTTACATCTTTGTCACAATATGTTTAGGTCATAAGGATCTTTATATATTTAGATCATTATTTTAAAGCTCATAACTTTATTAAAACATACATAGTTGCTTTATTGCAAAAACTTGGTATAGTTACAGTAGAAGTTACGAAATTTCTTTTTCCAAGTACATTTTAATGTAATCCACATCTACAACATATTTTTGATTTTATTTGCAAACATCATTATTAAACAAAATTGTTTTGGTTATACATAAAATTTCACTTAAATTAATTAGAATTTTATATGCTAAATTAAACTAACTTGATAGCAAGATAACTGTGACTGGATTATTGAAAAATGGTTTTGCTCATAATACATTTTAGTTAATTTCACTATGATTCAAGTACAATATAAACATTCACTTTTTGAACGGAAATATTTTTTTCTTGGTTTGTCTATTAAACTTCTGACAGATCATATAAAATTTTTAAAAAACTGTATAGGAGTGATAGATTTTTTTTTAGGTTTATTTATCATGAAATAAGAAACCACTGCTTAAATACTTTGTTTTTAAATTCTAATCTGATTCAAATATCTTGAAAATTAAATATTTAACAGAAAAATTAAACACGCATATTTTTAAAAGGAAAAAATTATTAATTTTCAATTCTAAGCAAATATTTTTCATAGAAATTAAAATATGTGTATTTTTTTTACAGATGGATTCATGTTACGAAGGCTATGGTGTATCTGCCGAAGTAAGTATAGTTGGGTAACAGTAAAATATAGCATTGATCTCACGCTTAGGGGTGGACATTAAATATAAATTATTTCAAATGATATTTATGATAACATCATGTTCAATTCTTTAAATCAGCACTTGTTAAATTTAAATTAAAATGATTCATACTCACTATTGATGTAGTATTACCTGATTAAAAACTTCTTTCACTTCTGAAATAAATAATTAAGAAATAACAGTCGACATGTTTCAAGAGCTTAAAACTAGGCACCCATTTTCTAAATTTGTTAGACGTGAATGTAAACTAAAAAAATCATTTGAAATAAAAAATTTAAAGTTGTCGAAGAGTAATAGAAAGATGAAGGTAAGAAGCAAATACGGAAAACTACAGAAGCCGTGAGAAAAAAGGAATGAAAAATAGAACAAGAAAAATCACAGTGGTCGAGAGGCAAATTAGGGTAAAATTCATTTACCATTGATAGTATTACCGTAGTTCCTCAAGGAGAAATAAATTCTGGTAAAATTGCCGTACTCTACTGCAACGAAATTTCTGGTAAAAAAACAATTATTCTATATTATATAAATTATTAAAACCATTATTAATATATTATATAATTATATTATATTATTAAACGATTCATTTAAACCATTAATTCAAATTATTCATTTAATCCTTCATAATGGCATTAAAGCCATTTATTTGATCAAATTTACTTCAGTTTTGTATAATTTACAAAATGTGTGATTAAGGACTAATTTTGAAAATCGAAATTTCCGATGAACCGAAACTGTAAGGTATCCTAAGAAAATTACTAAGTGTTACCAAGTTAAGTTTATATTATATAACAATATTTTATTGTTCATTTCACCAAAAATCATTGCCAAAGCGTTTCAATAAAAAATACCGAGCCCTTTGGTGCTCCCATAGAGGCAGAAACATTGTAAATTTTACCATATTCTGGTAGCTTTGACCATATTTATTTTCTCAGCGTTCTAAACAGTTATTCTTTATAATTTGAGCGAGGAAGCTCACTGTAAAAAAAAATCAAATTTAAATTGCGGTAAAAAAGTACTGCCATTCAGGGTACCGATACTTCTTACCCCAAAATCCATTTTTACCTGAACATGTTAATAAACGAAGAATCTGAAAGAACGTAATTTTTACTGTAATAATTATTGTAAGAACACTGAATCACTCCATTCAACTAAATATTACTGTAAGCATTATGGGATATTATTTTAGAGTAAAAATGGATTTCACGATAAAAGGAATTTTACAGATAGAATAGATCGATAGACAGAATTTATAGCTAAAATAACACTCTAAGTGCCCTTACATCAATTTGATCCGAAAGTTTTTAAAGAGCAGAGTCAAATCAGCGGGGTGAGATTGTTTTTTTTTACAGAAAATGATTAGAAAAAGGAAAAAAAATTGAACTCAGATATTAAATGTGGTGTTGAATAGTTTATTTTGTTAAATATAAATGACTTGTTAAATAATTACGTGTGGAATATGCGTAAACTTATCATTAAAGCAAATTGCACAAAAGTCAATGAAATAAAATTTTTCCAATTATATAATTTTTCTTTTTTTTTTGAAAAAATTAGTAATGAAATGTTACCTAGTGTGTTGTATTCATTTAAAAAGGAATACAATTAAGCTAGTAGTGATTGTCTTATAGAAAGAGTGAAAATTGTAATGCCTATATCATATAGCAGTACTGGTTTAAATATTATAGGCAAGATTATGGTTACCGATGTAGTTTCGCTCATCATTCATAATTTGATTTGAAATTCCTTTATTTTTTTTTTCATTTGATTAATTTATGGGTTTGCAACAAACTTAAACTTTGACTGACTTGATACATTATTTTATTTTAGCAAGAAACGTATCCAGAAATGACAGTAAGTATATTTTTGCTTGTTACTCAAAATATTTTCTCTAATAAATGCAGAGTTAAAAATTTGTAATTTCAAAAAAAGATTTTCCAAAGCACAAAAACATAAAAATTTATAATTATTGTATGATAAATCCAAGAGTTAAAAGGCTGAAACTTTACTTTTCATTGATAAATTATTACATAACTCTTGGTTAAAATTATTGAATTACAGCAAATGAAAAGGGAATTCTTTTGCCATGATGTTCAATCCTGAGAAATACTTTTTTACAGTGAGACTTTCAAACTTTCTCGAGAGTTTTTCTTAATTGAAATGACCATCAACTTTCAAGAAAACATTATTATTATCATGGTTTCATTATTTATTATTACATTTATTATTATTGTTAGTGTACTGACTGCTGCATCGAATATTCAATACAATATTCAATACGCAAATTTTGAGTTCGTAATTTGTTTTATATGACAATTTTTTAAGATTTAAAAAATTTATAAGCTTGCTGTTTTTTGAAAAAAAATAAAATTTTAAGGTGATGCATGAAAAATCTGAATACATAATTAAATTATAATTAAAAAATATCACTTCGATATGTGTTGCAATACTAATCTGTAAAATAATAGATCTGCATGTGTTTATAAGTATAGTGATATGCTGTATAATGATGTGTTGTATAAGTATTGTGATATTTCTGATTCCTATATTGTATTAGTTCTTTATTTAATATAATGGATTTTTTTCCGATTCTAATTTTAGGCTTGTTATAAAGCATTGTTTGAAAAACATGGCTTAGTCAAAAATGCAGCACGCTGGGAGAGTAAGAAACAAAATTGAATCACTATTGCACAGATGAAAGCGTAGAGATAGGTTTATTATTTCTGTAAAATATATACCTCATATTGTTTTCTCGAACAAAAATTCCTTTGTTTATTGCTTAACAAAGCAATAATTAAATAATTAAAATTGTATTGCTTGGTCAATAAATTGGTAATTATATTTATGTGAGATTTTCTATGTTCTCTTAAAATTCAACAAATATTTTTATCGACAGTTTTCTTTTAAGGCATTTCAGTTTTAATTCATTTTTTCAACGCCTACCTTTTTAAAAATTGTGTCTTAGCATGGCTTTTAAAATCAATATAATTTTCCATCATTATTTACTTTTAACGTCTGAGGAGGTAGGGGAGTGTCGGGTACCCCGCCCACTGTCAATTTCATATGTATAGAATATTTTCAAGTCAATGGGCCATCGGACATTAATTGTTATATTAAAGAAATATTATTTTCAAAGTTTCAAGTATTTATGCAGCTGGTTACATGCTAAACAATAGTTTTGAAAATAAGTTGAATACAGTAGTCATGGAATTAAGAAAAATCGGTTGAATTTTGTGATAAAAATGATAAATGAGGTTTATCTATTGTCTATACCAGGGATGGCGAACCAATGGCACGCGTGCCATTGATGGCACGCTACAGAATATTTTGGGCACGCCACCGATCACAAAGTTCACTATGAAACGTATTAACAATTAAATTAAAATTGACAAAACACGAACAAAAAAAATTAATAATTATTAACAAAATATTAACAATTTTTGCAACAAATAACAATTATTAACCATAAAAAACAAGCTAACAATAAATAACAAGCAAAAAAAATTAACAGTTAATAATTAATAAAATACAAAACAAAAGAACAATTAAGCTATGCGAGTGAAAGAAAGCGAAACAAAAACTGTACAAGACATAATATGACACTTAAGCAAAGGCGTAGTAAACCTTTTCAAGTGTGAGAGTTTTCGAAGG